TTTGGGGCTGAGAAGGGTAAAGCTGATGAACAAAGCACTTATAGGAAAGTGGTTGTGGAGGTTTGGGCAAGGGAGAGAGAGGGAGGCTTTGTGGAGAAGGGTGGTTGTTGGGAAGTATGGAATGATAAGATTTGGATGGGAATCAAAGGAAGTGAAGAGATCCTATGGGGTGAGTGTCTGGAAAGGAATTATGGGCTTTAACCAAGAATTTAAGAGTTTTGTCAAATTTAGAGTGGGGGAAGGCTCGAGGGTTAGGTTTTGGGAAGATGAGTGGTTGGAGATAGGGAAGTTAAGTGAGGTGTGCCCAAGATTATACAAACTAACAGAACAACAAGTCTCAATAGTTCAATGTTATGAGTGGAGAGGGGAGCAATTGATCTGGAATCCGAAGTTCAGAAGACCTTTACTAGATCAAGAGTGGAAAAATGTATACTACTATTGGAAAAGCTAGAAGGAACTAACATTTCAAGAGGCACAGAAGATGGTCTCTGGTTAAGGAGGGCAGATTCACAGTTAAGTCATTCTACAAAGCATTAATCAAAGAAGGGGGGCTCAGTCCAGATAAAAGGAGTTTGGGGGAATCCAATACCCCCAAGGTAGAGGCCTTTGCATGGTTGGTGGCACATGACAGCATCCTCACTACTGATCATCTGAAATCTAGGTGATTTCATATGGCAAGCAGGTGCTATTTATGCGAGGAAGAAACTTTGTTCCACTTGTTCTTCACATGCAGCATAGCAAGCTTCATATGGAAGTTCTTTTCCTTCTTATTTGGCATGTGTAGCTTCCAGCCTTCAGATCCAGTAGAAACATTTGCTCTGTGGCCAAAGTTCAGAGGAAGTAAGAAAGCCAGTATTGTTTGGAGCTGCATCCCTTTAGCAGTATGTTGGTCTATTTGGAGGGAGAGAAACAGAAGAGTATTAGAGAATTGGGCCAACAATATAGAATACCTGGTAGCTTCAGTGTCCAATCTGATACCAGAGTGGGTCCTCGGTCTCCCAGATTTTGATCAAGTCTCCAAAGTTGATTTATTGGAAAATTTCTGGAATTCACTTGAGTTACAGCCTTGTAATGTAGATGCATTCTCAGTTTAATGTTCTGGACATATAATTGAAGTATGTACTTGAAGTTGTTGGTGTGTCATCTAGACAACCAATGTCGTAGGATGTAACATTTTCTTTTAATAAATTTTCTTTCTTCTTGATTCTTAAAAAAAAAAAAAAAAGTTTCTGAATATTGGGTTAAATGACATAAGAGCATATGCAGGAACATAAATACACTTGAATTTCTCAGTTTTTTATCAGTAGAAATTTGATTTTATTAATTAAATATATGTAAAAACAGTACAAGTTGAAAACGATAATGTCATCCCCAATAATAAAAGCTAGGTTACAAAGAAGCCCAAAACAGTTGCTGCCTTGCTGCCCCTTGTTTCGCAGGGGAGTCAGCTAGCCCATTTGCACTCCTTACCCACTTGAATTCAGCATTTAACTCTCTTTTTTTTTTGATAATTGAAATGATTTTATAAATCAGCAATAAAAATAGTACAAAGTCCTCTTGGAAAGGTACGAGTTGCAACCTCTCCGGACTGGTTAAGTACAGATTTCCGAATTAATAACAACTTACATAGAAGCACAAAAAAGATCTTCCATAGAAACCCCCTGTTTGGCTAGAGCATCAGCCAAAGAATTAGCAGACCTACTAACCCATTTTACCTCAACTCTCATATTGCTGGTTAACCACTTTACTTTTTTKATGAGATCTTTGTAGCCCCAAATGGTGGTATCCAAGTTTAGGAGCCACCTGGTTACCACCTGAGAGTCCCCTTCAACTAGGAGATGCTCCACCCCAAGCTGGTTGGCGATCTGAATTCCTTGTACTGCCGCAAGTATTTTTGCCCTTGTGGAATCCCCCACTCCCACCGGTCCTGAGAATAGGGAAATTATGTTGTTGTTTATTTCTCAGGATACCACCCCCTATACCTAAAGGCCCGGGATTGCCTTGACTGCTTCCATCAAAGTTCAGCTTAATGACACCTTCCAAAGGCAGAACCCATTCTGACAGAATTCTCTCCTTCTTTGTTGAAGTGTTGGCTATTACTAGCCAATTTCTCCACAAATCATCAAAGGAGAAGTCATCAAAGATATCCACAGTTTTCAGCCAAAGGATTGCTCTTGTT